ACATTTTACGAACAAGGCGATAAGGCGGGCAAAATATTGGCATGGCAAATACGACAACTGGAAAGCAGAGCGTTGATTGCGGAAATAGCAACCGAGGAACGTGTCCTTTCAGATCCAGAAGAAATCAACTTGGCATTTAGGGAATACTATACTAAGTTATATATGGCACAATCTACTATTCAAAAGAGAAATATTAATGAATTTTTAAGCAAGCTAGAGATACCCAAAATCTCAGACGAAAACAAAAATGACTTGGATTTGGAAATTACAAAAGAAGAAATTGAACCTGCAAAAGACGAAATGAAACCTGGGAAAATGGCTGGGCCAGATGGCCTTCCTATAGATTTATACAAGAAATATAAAGGTAAATTACTAATCCCTTTACTGGACATGTACAAGGGAATCTTTAAAGCAGAAAATCTACTTCCCTCACTGAATATGGCAATGATCACCCTACTGCCAAAACCAGGTAAACCATTAAATAAATGTGAATATTTTAGACCAATTAGCTTATTAAATTCAGATTTAAATATAATCTCAAAAATACTTGCTCGGAGACTTCAAAACATATTACCAAATATAATTAATCAAGATCAAAATGGCTTTATCAAGGGGAGACATGGTTTCCACAATGTAAGGAGAGTCTTAAATATAATACACTTCAGCAATGGGGAAACAGACAAAGCTCTTATATCGCTAGATGCCGAGAAGGCATTTGATAGAGTTGAGTGGATATACCTTTTTGAAATTATGAAGAAATTTGGATGTGGGAAAAATTTCCTAAAATGGATAAAAATTTTGTATAATAACCCCTCTGCAGAAATAAGAACGAATAGGAATATTTCAAAACCAATTGAAATTAAGAGGGGCTGTGGACAGGGTTGCCCATTGTCACCCCTGTTATTTGTCCTCGCCATTGAGCCGTTAGCAATCACAATACGCTCACATCCTCGCTTTGCGGGTATTAGGATTGGTCCACATGAACATAGGATTTCGTTATTTGCTGACGATGTTATTTTGTTTTTGTCGAACTTGAGTGAATCCTTAGAGTGTCTTTTAGAAATAATTAATTCATTTGGTAATGTATCAGGTTACAAAATTAACAAAACAAAGTCTTCCATCTTATTGCTAAAAACGAATGACGAAACTAATTCAATTCCAGAGGTACAACAGTTTAATGTTGTACCACAATTTGAATATTTAGGAATACAAATTTTGCCAAGCCTTCAACAAATTGTGGAAAAAAACTATAATTTGATAATGAGAGATGTTGATGATCTTATTGATAGATGGATGCCATTAACAGTATCCATGATTGGGAGAATTAACATAATTAAAATGAATGTACTACCCAAGTTTCTCTATGTGTTCCAGAATATCCCTTTGCCCCCTCCTCCTGGCTTTTTCAGACGAATTAGGGGGATTCTCCTTCGATTTATTTGGAGGAATAGAAGATCCAGGCTTAGACTGTCATTATTGTACATGCCATATGATCGAGGGGGTCTGAAATGTCCAGATTTTTGGTTGTATTATTGGGCGGTGCAGCTGAGATCTATGACCTTTTATTATTCTACAGATTTGCTGCACTGGGTAGGCATGGAAGCTCAAGGGTTGCAAATAACACTCCCTTCTTACTTATATTCAAATTCAATGAAAAAATTGCTAGAAAATACTAAAAATCCAGTACTTAAAAAGATGATTAGAGTGTGGAGAGATGTTAAGGAATTCTTGCACGATCCATGTAATTTATCTCAGTTCAGTCCCGGCAAAACAGATAATGCCTTTATATTACGGTACAATAGTGGATTACAAATTATCCAAAATCTTTATCTACCTGGTTCAGATGTGCTAATGAGCTTTCAGGAGTTGCAAAATATCTTTCATTTGAATAAGAATAATTTTTATAGATACCTCCAAATCAGAAATTTTATGAAAACTAGCCAAAACAATCAGCTGGTGAAACCTAGTATGACAACATTAGAGAAAAACCTGTCAAATAACTGTCGGAGAAAAGGTATAATTTCAGACCTTTATAACTTAATGATATCTGAGGCTCCTGAGGGCTCAAATGACAGATTACAGGCTTGGAAGGCTGATTTATCATTAGATCCGTCAAAGGAGGACTGGCAGAGAGCATGTACTCTGGCTCATACCGGATCTATTAATGCGCACCTTAAGATGATACAGTTTAAATGGTTAATGCAAGTGTATGTAACACCGGTAAAATTAAATAGATATAATGGTGATATACCTGATGTGTGTCCAAAATGCATACAGCACAGAGGTACTTTGATACATTGTATGTGGTACTGCAAGAAAATAATGCAATTTTGGGAAGAGATTAGGGATGTCTTTGAAAAGATGATTTCCAAAAGTGTTAAAACTGACCCCAAATTGTTTCTGTTTGGCCTTTATACAAAGGGGCACAACTATACTAATTATGAACGGATACTTATGAACCTAGGTTTTCTCAATGCTAAACGCTGTATATCTTTATCTTGGAAAAAATTGCACAGACCAACACTGGATCAGTGGCTACGGCAAATGACATCAGCTCTTCCACTGGAAAGAATTACATACATGCTGAAGAAGAAAGGGCGCATTTTTGAAAATATCTGGAGACCTTTCATTTCATTCATTAAACAGAGGGGATTTGAAGAGGCTTAGGGCTGCTTGAAGTGTAAAAAGACTGACGGGGCACTTGTTATTTCTTTTTTTTTCTTTTTATGTGTTATTTCACTATACTGCATATAACTCCGGTTTTGTATATGTTGGAAAAGTAAAATAAAAACAAGTATGAAAAAAAAAAGGACCAGTAACCTGGTTGCAGGTTATTTAATTATCTTATAAAAGCATCCTTGGGTTCAATTTCAGCTGTCAGTCTGACTTGTAAGAGTCCTTCAGCATCCCACCTCTTCAGTTGGGAACATTTGCCAACTGTACCTCGTAAAAGTTCTCCAAATTGAAACAGCAACGACATCTCTTGTCCGCAGCCCTCTTCAGTTGTTAACATTTCCCATCAGATGTAGTTCTACACTCAAGCTTGGTACGCTATGCCGAGTGGTTAAGGCGATGGACTGCTAATCCATTGTGCTTTGCACGTGTGGGTTTGAATCCCATCCTTGTCGAGCTCTTTGCTTCTCTCTTTAAATATCTGTTTCCTGATGAAATATGTTATATCATGTCATATTGTTGGATATCAAAGTCCTAACACCACGGTAAACATATGTTAGCAAAGCATTTGCAATTCTTAAAAAGGCCGTTTATTCCATTAATCTGCTGGGGGACTTCAACGCCCACGTGGGCAACGACAGTGACACCTGGAGAGGCGTGATTGGGAGGGCCTCCCTGATCTGAATCCGAATGGTGTCTCATTGTTGGACTTCTGTGCTAGTCTATAATGAACACCATGTTCAAGCATAAGGGTGTCCATCAGTGCACTTGGCATCAGGACACCGTGGGCAGGATGTCAATGATCGACTTTGTTGTCATGTCTTCAGACCTTCAGCCGCATGTTTTGGACACTCGGGTGAAGAGAGGGCCTGAGCTGTCCACTGATCACCACCTGGTGGTGACTTGGATCTGCTGGAAGAGGAGAAAGCCAGACAGACTTGACAGGCCCAAACACATAGTGAGGGTCTGCTGGGAACATCTGGCGGACCCCTTGGCCAAGGATGTATTCAACTCCCATCTCCGGGAGAGCTTTGACCAGATTCCGGGGGGAGGTTGGAGATATAGAGTCCAAGTGGACCATGTTCTCGGAATCTATTGTCGATGTTGCTGCCCGTAGCTGTGGCCGTAAGGTCTGCGGTGCCTGTCGCGGCGGCAATCCCCGAACCCAGTGGTGGACACTGGCAGTAAGGGATGCCGTCAAGCTGAAGAAGGAGTCCTATAAGCTGTGGTTGGCTTGTGGGACTCCTGAGGTGGCTGACGGGTACCGTGAGGCCAAGCATGCTGCGGCCCGGGCTGTGGCAAAGGCAAAAACTCGGGCCTGGGAGGAGTTTGGTGAGGCCATGGAGAAGGACTACCTCGACTGGGGACATTATTGGGCGGTGAAAGCAGTACTTCAAGGATCTCCTCAATCCTGCCATCATGCATTCCCTGGTGGAAGCAGAGGCTGGGGACTCGGGGTTGGACTCTTTCATCACCCAGGCTGAAGTAACAGAGGTGGTTAAAAAGCTCCACGCATCAAGTCTCTTGATGTTGCAGGGCTGTCATAGTTGACGCGCCTCTTCAACATTGCGTGGTGGTCGGGGACAGTGCCTCTGGACTGGCAGAACGGGGTTGTGGTCCCCCTTCATAAGAAGGATGATTGGAGGGTGTGTTCCAACTACAGGGGGATCACACTCCTCAGCCTCCCTGGTAAGGCCTACGCCAGGGTATTGGAGAGGAGAGTCCGGCCGATAGTCAAACCTCAGCTTCAGGAGGAGCAGTGTGGTTTTCGTCCCGGCCGTGGAACACTGGACCAGCTCTATACCCTCTACAGGGTACTCGAGGGTTCATGGGAGTTTGCCCAACCGGTCCACATGTGTTTTGTGGACCTGGAGAAAGCATTCGACTGTGTCCCTCGTGATGCCCTGTGGGGGGTGCTCCAGGAGTATGGAATCGGGGGCCCTTTACTAGGGGCCATCCGGTCTCTGTACAAGCGGAGCAGGAGTTTGGTTCGCATTGCCGGCACTAAGTCGGACCTGTTCCCGGTGCATGTTGGACTCCGGCAGGGCTGCCCTTTGTCACCAGTCCTGTTCATAACTTTTATGGACAGGATTTCTAGGCGCAGCCAAGGGCCGGAGGGGGTCTGGTTTGGGGACCAGTGGATTTCGTCTCTTCTTTTTGCAGATGACGTGGTCCTGCTGGCCCCCTCTAGCCAAGACCTACAGCATGCGCTGGGGCAGTTCGCAGCCGAGTGTGAAGCAGCCGGGATGAGGATCAGCTCCTCCAAGTCCGAGGCCATGGTTCTCGACCGGAAAAGGGTGGCTTGTCCTCTTCAGGTTGGAGGGGAGTTCCTGCCTCAAGTGGAGGAGTTCAAGTATCTCGGGGTCTTGTTCACGAGTGAGGGAAGAATGGAGCGGGAGATCGACAGACGGATCGGTGCGGCTGCCGCAGTAATGGGGGTGTTGTGCCGGTCCATTGTGGTAAAGAGAGAGCTGAGCCGAAAAGCGAAGCTCTCAATTTACCGGTCGGTCTACGTTCCTACCCTCACCATGGCCATGAACTTTGGGTCATGACCGAAAGAACAAGATCCCGGATACAAGCGGCTGAAATGAGCTTCCTTTGTAGGGTGGCCGGGCGCTCCCTTAGAGATAGGGTGAGGAGCTCGGCCATCCGGGAGGGGCTCGGAGTAGAGCCGCTGCTCCTCCACATTGAGAGGAGCCAGTTGAGGTGGCTCGGGCATCTGTACCGGATGCCTCCTGGACACCTTCCTCAGTAGGTGTTCCAGGCACGTCCCACCGGGAGGAGGCCCAGGGGACGGCCCAGGACACGCTGGAGGGACTATGTCTCTTGGCTGGCCTGGGAACGCCTTGGGCTCCCCCCGGAGGAGCTGGAGGAGGTGTCTGGGGAGAGGGACGTCTGGGCATCTCTGCTGAGTCTGCTGCCGCCGCGACCCGGTCCCGGATAAAGCGGAAGCCGACGAGTACGAGTACGAGTGATATCATCATAGATGTGTCGTATTATCATGATATTCACATTCTCATGGTTTGGTCCAGTTTTGCTGCACTACAGAAAAGCCATGCAGTTTTAACCTCAAATTGTTAATTTTTAATCCCTAGCTGTAATAGGGTAGCCTGTTTGTAGTCCATATTCAAATAGTTGGAAATGCAACCAAGGTCTTGGGGATTGTCTGGTGCTGGGCTGGCGTTTCGGCTCTCTCGGGATCGCTTGGGTTCCCTTGGATCTCGGCCCCTGGCTTTGGGCCCTGGTCTGCCGGCTGGGGGTTGCCGGGCTCCGGCAGGGCGGTCTTAGCCGGCATTGATTGGGATGTGGCCCTGCTTTGATGGAGGGGCTGGCCGGCTGGACTGCTTTGTGGCCATGCGGGGGCGCCACCTGCATGGCCTGGGGTCGGGCGCTGGGCTGCGGTTGGCGGTCGGGTGTCCCCCAGCATGTAGAAGCTACAGAGAGACATCAAATCTTAAATCCTACAAGAATTCCCCCCCCCCAAAAACAAAAACCCCAAAAACTTTGGAAAAGAGAAAGGTAAAGTGCCACAACTCAACTGAAACAAAGCACATACAACAAGAATATCCCAGAAGAACTTTAGTAAATCTTATTGGAAATGTATGCGCAACTGGTCTGGTTGCAACATACTCTATTAAAGGACTGTATTCTTAATCTAAATTTGTAGCTTTTAAATTGAAATATGACTCCACTAAATAACCTTCAGGTAAAACTACTCCAACTTTGGGTAACAGGTTTCCTTATATGCCCTGAGGTTTGTTTATGTGCCTCCAGCTGCTTTGCTCATTTTAAAGGTTAACAGCCTAAAAAGACCCGCTCCAATGGCCATTTTAGAATACAATCAGTGGGTCTAAATTTACTATATTTTCCATGACAAACCACCTGAAAAATTAAGGACATTTCAACTAATCTAAGCTATACTTTACAAACCAAAAACCTATAACTATTATGGCATGCTAGTATTCACCGTCACAACCAACATCCAACTATGTGTGGGAAAAATAATAGCAGAAGCTTAATGTCAAAATATGTTGAATAATCTTTTTTGTAGAGAATATTTTTTTATGAAATGTTATAATTTAAATACAAATATTTAAATCAAATGAAGGTTATCTATGCTGTATGTTAATTGTCATTTGATACGCATGCTTCAGCAAAAACTTTAAATACATGACCATTAATTTCGAAGCAGTTTTAAAGTAAAAGCAAAATGTGTCTTTCTTGTAAGTGAATGAAAAGTGTAATAGCCTTCCTTCAGCCAGCTGACCAGCTGGGCACAGCAACAGCTAGGCAGGGGCTGTGCTGCCCTACTCTATGCTCCATACAACCAGAGAAAACTACATTTACTCTTGCTCTGTCCATGGCCACTCATAAAAATGAGTTGAAACCTTATGATGGCAATTGTTAGAGCAAGGATCTCAAACTGTAATCATCAAGGGCCAGAGTCACGCAATTTTGAAACGTGTCCCTGGTTCAAAACACCTCCATGAACTAGCTGGATTGCCTCTTCACCATGCAGTCCAGATCTACAGAGTCTTGCTAATAATTTGATTATTTGATTCAGGTGTAGTGAAGCAGAAACACATCTCAACGTAGCAGTGACCCAGCAGGACTGGAATTTGACACCCTAGTTTTAGAGGCTGTGACACTGTAATTACAGTTAAACCCAAAACTGGGCATAACCCACTTTATATCAGTCAAAAGTTTGGACACACCTTTGTCATTCAATGGCTTTTCTTTATTTTCATTACTTCCTACATTGTAGATACATAGTGAAGACATCAAAACTATGATGACTATGAAAAATAAAGACAAACCATTAAATAAGAAGGTGTGTGCTAACTTGTTGATTTAAGTGTCTTCAGCCAACCAAGAAGTTGGTTTCTAATAGGAATTGAGACAGGAATCTCACAAAAAAATGCAACAATGCAACAACCGTTATTTTTTAAATAATGAATCTGTTTTTATTTACATTTTGTCAGGAAAAGGCATGTTGTATTATTTATACCATTCTGAGCTCCTAGTCACTGAGGTTTGTAGTGATGGGAAATTATTGTACCGTTTATCCAACTCCTAATCCATAGGGCTTAATAAAAACTCGGCCCACCCTTTGCAGCTACAACAGTTTCAACTCTTCTGGGATGGCTATCCACAAAGCTTAGGAATGGTTTATAGGAATTTTTGAACATTCTTCCTAAAGCACGTTTGTGAGGTCAGACTCTGAGAAGTTCTATCCTGCAGTCTCTTTTCTAATTCATCCCAAAGGTTCTGTTGGGCTGTTGGGTGAGGACCCTGTGCACACCAGTCAAATTTTTCCACACCTCTCATCAGTGTCTTAATAGATCTTGTTTGGAGCCCTGTAATGTACAAACAGGGAGGGGGGAGCTACAGGGCCCTTTTACTGGAACTACAGGGCCAAAATCAACAATGAGATAAATATATATCTATCTATATACAGT